CTGCACTTTGTTCATCGTTTTTATTTTATGCTCCTGTACAGCACTTTGGTTTTTATTGTGTTTTATAAATAAACGATGATGATGATGAAAAGCAGCTTTTGTGTTATTTATTATTATTTTTTTGCCATTTCTCTGTTTATTGCACAGTCTGAACTTGGGGTGAATTTACAGCATTAATCCATTCTCAGGAATATTATCACCTGTCCTAAATATTTTCCACTTATGTTTTCTTTTGGTGCATGAATGGACATCAAATTATTTAGAAATGACCTTTAACTCTTCCCTGACTAACATTAATAATCTTTAGTGTCATTGCTGGTGTTCTGCCTCAGCATTGTGTTAACTAACACACGCTTGTATGCTCTATAAATGTGACGTAATAACATTAAAACTTGGTAAAGTCTGAATTCCTTTTCTTGTTTTTATAAATGGTACAGTTTAGACTTTAACACTCGTTACTGTAACWTTTGACACATCATTTCCCTAGCATTTAGAAACTGTGGTGAGGTACAGAAAACCTGCTGGGTGTCATTTTTTGTTCCTGTAAAACCAGCAGCAGATCTATCAGACACCAGGTTGCGTAACTGGTTTTCTCTTCCTCTGAAAGAAACCAAATCAAAAACTCTGACAAAATTAATAACGTGGAGCAGAAAAAGCTAATTTTCGACGCAATAACAAAGCTATTCCTTCAGGTGAAACGTACTTTTTCTGAAGAACTTATATAAAAAAAAAAAAGGCAAACTTATGTAAGCTGTGCATTTTTATGCGAACCACTCAGCTAGCTAACCTGACAGGCGAACTGCTGAACTTTAGCAAAAAACGAGACAAGCTAGTGAAGTCAAAAATAAACGCACCTTCCATGTCCCCAGTCCCAAAATGGGCATTTCAGCACCGGTGTTGAGTTTCACYGTGGTAGCCATCGCTGCAGAAGCAGAACCAGGGAACAGACGAGACGGAAACGTGGGACGATGTGACCGGTTAGCGGCACCGAATGAAGGAAGCAGCGATCCGAGCGCCGCTCGAGAATAAAAAGCATCGATCGATTAGTGATGCCTTTTATAATCATAGACCGAGACCGCAGCTCCAGTTTACACACACTGCTGTCAGTCTAGTTAATGACAGGCTGTTTATTATTTAATTAATATATGCTAATCCTCTCTGAATAAAAGTAACACACAACAAAGAAGTTTTTTTTTGTTTTATACAAAAACGATAACAGGTTTTGCGCATGCGCTGTAGACCGGAATAATAAAATTC